CTTCGCAAGCAATTTAAATACTTCCGTTAAAAAGAGAATAATAATCTCTTGTGTTGTCGTTGTGATAAGTTGGCAAAGGGCCAATACTTGGCGCGCGAACGAATACAGAAAACAGAATAATGCACGAAATACGTTGTAAATTTGATTTGATTTTATTTTATTTTTTGTTTTTTTTTTTTTATTTTCTATTTTTTACTTTTATTATTATTTTTTATTTTAACATTTCCTTGAAATTTAATAAATAGTTAATTCTGATATATAGCGACGTTGATGTTAAGAAAGGAGAGAAACTTTTTAATTATAAAACAAGCAGCGGCGGCATAATAACTAGAACATGCCACAACTAAAACAATAAAGGGGTGTGTCATCCAAACTAATTTCAGTAATTAAAAGTTTGTGCACTAAACTAATACTTTTTCCTTTCTTCATCTTTATGATATGTATGTGAACATGTATGTGTGTTAGTGTGTGTGTGTGTGTGTGTGTGTGTGAATGTTTGCATGGTTTAACACAAAAATAACATTATACACCCGTACGTATTTTAAAGGCAGTAAATGCATTCATCTATATTTAGATTATGACATAAAATAATAAGAAAAATGTAAATTTTATTTATATTTATATAATACTAATGATGAAAAAACAATTTCAAACTCAAAGTATAACACACTTAACCAAAATAAACGCTTCATTTAATTTTATCGGTACACACTTATCCTCAATACAATGTATATGTAAGTACGCGTCATGATTATTAAGTGCTACCTTAGCTCAGTAAGCAAAAACGCATACACGCACCAATTCATATACATATAGATGGGTAATAAAATGGCATAACGAAAATTCTGTATTAAGATTGGAAATATCATTTACGATAATAGAGTAAGTAAACTGATGTGTTTTTCTTTTCGAGTTTTCAACTCAATGCAATAGCGTAAAATACTTCAAATGTAAGCATGGAATCAATAAATTTTATGATATACATTTCATATTTTTCTCTATGAAAAATTGATGTAACAACACATTCAATTTACGATTTTGCTGTGCGGCTAAATTTTCTCTTCACGACGATGTAACGATTTGCACGTCATACACGAAAAATAACCAAAAAAAACTTATTTCTTATCTTAGAGCGAAGCTTTAATGCTTGCAAACTTCAAGTCCTACTTTACATTCTGTTAAATGTTGATCACTCGGACAATCGATTTTTTTTGATCCTTACAGCAGTATAGATGGCAGTATAGATGGCAGTTTAGATGGATTCGGTCCACTTTTTTTGCGATCAAAAATGCATTTATTTTAAAACCAAATGCATTAACAGATAAATGAAAGTATTGTCTCGCGCTGGCTATTATTTTTTCTCAGCTCTCTGATCGCTTTCCATTTCCATTTGGGAAAAAAATTTCGCACCTTTTGAAGCTATCTCCAGAACAACCCATATATGGGTATCGCGAAGACTTCCTGGGCAACTTTTTGTGTACGGGAACAAATTTCTTCATATTAAATAATCATGACTGCTGGCATTCCATGCCCATTTGTTATTCTTGATGGTACTCCTTGGTGGTAGTTTCATTTGATTGGAACAAACCATAATGTAGCACGTCCTGCCGATACCCCAAACCGGGCCGCCATGCATACCCAGTTTTATCATCAAGCCCACTTGGGCTTTGAATAACGTGGAGCATCCACTGTTCATCAGTGAAAGATATAAACAGTGTGATCCTTCGAATTAAGCAAAAAGCGTTTTATCGGCACAGAGACTTACATCTACTCAGAACTGCAAAAAACTGGTTTGGATATGCTTTAGTACGATACTTCATACAGTTGCGTATGACTCAAAGACAGTCCTTTCAAATTAAGAAGACACACTTTTATATTGCACTCTACTACTAGTACTACTTGTACTCTCTCGTAGAAAACAACCCAAACTATTTCCTACAACCAATAGCGATTGTGTGTATATTTTTAGACTAATCAGTCCCATTTTTTCGCATTAAATCAGATCAAAATATGCTTCAAATTCTAACTTATAAACCTTGTTTTTTATCTTCTGCCATTTGTTTTGAACGGTTTTAGTTAATTTTCAAACTTAATTGACTGAGAATGGAAAGCTTTCAACTTTCAAGCTCAATATTTGCAACAATTACTCTGACTCTAAAGACGCTAACGGAAGAGAATTAAATCGGCAGAGGCTCATCAACCTCATGAAAATATCTCTAGAGTATAAATATAATTTTTAGAACATGAATTGTGAAAAACATGGCCGGATAGCCTGAATGAAAAGATTATAAATTTATGCCCATCTTAGGATGAATCTTTGCGACTCACTACTTAACTCCGGCAGATCATGTAGGGGTAGTTCTATGGCGAAGTTTTATGTGATCACAGGCAATGTTCTCTTTTAAGTTGTATCTTACGGCCTCGTGAGTATTACCGAAGCATTGAACTTTTCAATGGGTCTGTATCATATCTTATTAATTAGCACTTGTGCCATTTGTTTCAATTTATAATTTTTGACCTCTTATTACCATGTTCTAGTGAGGGATTTCGTTATATTTCGCTAATATTTCCAATCTATTGCAATTTCTCTCTCTCTCTCTCTCTCTCTCTCTCTCTCTCTCTCTCTCTCTCT